TAATTTACATAAAATATAAAAAGCACAATTAAGTAACGAAAAAAGCAAGTTAAAAATTTTTTGTATTTGTAGTATATTTGTAGTCTCAATGAATCATAATGCTACAAAATTGCTTCTACAAAAAAAAATACAGAATACAGATATAAAAATCAAATAATACTCACAAATTTGTAATAATTAAACCGCATGTTTCATATACTAAAATATAATTACATATCAATTTGCTATTACAAGGAGAATATAAAAGATTATTTCAATATAAAATAGTCTGAGCTAAATAGTAATTAAGCTATGAAATAAAGAGACAAGGTTCGACACTCGTTATATTTTGATTCTATTTCCATACATAAGTATATTTTTGTAAATATAAGTTTTTTCTAGAATATAATAATGGCTAACTGAAAATTCTGTATCACTGTAAGACAATAAATAGTAGCAAAAACGTTGTCATAGCTATAAACTGGCAATTTTCTTAAGTAATCGACTTTCACTTTCCTCTTGGTTAGCCCAGTTAGAGTCCAATTTTACAAGAATACATTTTACACTAGATAGATCAAAATGATATCAAGAACGCATCTGTATCATAAAAGTGATACGTGAGATATTGTATTAGGGTTCGTGAGATATTGTATTAGGGCAAAAAACAGACTGAAAGTTATATAAAATAATTATAACCGATATGCAAATAAATTTTTCATCATAAAAACTACCACAAATATAGAAAATTATGAACTGTCTGAAAGAAATTGGTGAAATTCAACATCAAATAATTGCAAATAAAGGCTCTCTACCTTATTATATTAGTTCATAGTGCAGCAGAAAATTTGCATACATAATGTAACTTTATCTCAACCTAAATTTGTTTTTATTCCCTTCGTATAACAGAGTTGAATCTTGGAAGAATAATCTAACGCATAAAATATAAACAACGCAAATCATTTGGTTATTCCCTACATCATTGAATTTTATTTACTTAGATCAAAAAATTGGCTTTGAAAATTATGAATAATGATCTTATGATTATTAATATTTACTCGATAAATGATTATTGCTTATGAATAAAAATCACTACCATCAGAACATATGAAGTTACTGAAATATATTTCTCTCACAGAGACAGTGTTACGTAAAATATAATTTAAAAAACCTAATTTTCAGAACTTATTTCTACCTGTAACTTTTACCTTGAGCACTGCTCTACTCCTGATACAGCAAAAGTTGTAATTCAGTATACTGCATCTCATTCATTTAAAACATATCTGAATATACAGCAAAAATCACAAATAACGGAAGTTAAATTATAGGACTATATAAATTTGAAAATTTATACCCAATGCTGAAAATTTAAAACAAAAAACGACATACAGTGTAATTCAAAATTTCATGAAGATAAAATAAATGAAATTACTTTAATTTTTATGCCTTACATGAGCCTAACATTATTGCCTCCCATATATGTAACTCATAGGCAAGAACAAACATAAGATTGATTAACTTATGCAAGACTTGATAAAACCCATTCGCTTTCTATATATATACTTTAAATTATTTTCACTCCCCCATATTCTGAATTCATAAATATTCAGGCCAATAAGTAATTCATGTGAAGCCTTAGTACAATAATTAATTCTCCTTACAACCTTTCCATCAAGTAACTTTTTTCTGTCCACACTTAAATTCAACATATTCCTGCACTTGAAATTCTTATTACTACTAGTAACTTCAATGAATTTAAAAATTTAAACTGTTGAATGTACCCGAAAATCGTACTTTAATAGATGTAACAATCGATATAGATGACGGGACTGCATGAAAGAACTGTACCCAATTTGTTTCATTATGGTAACGTTTAGCTACGTCTAAAATTAAAATTGTATAATCTCTAAATTATTGAAATCTGTTGCGAGAAAAATCATAACAATGCGAAGCGCTAATTCCAGCAATTAAGGCAATTTTAAAGTTGGAAAGTTAATCAAAATTGCAGCAGTGAATCATTCGAAGGAATATGAATCATTTTTGAAGTCGGAAGAAATTTAACCACAAATTTTGTGGAGACGACTGCAGTGATCTCTGAAGACATAAAATGAACAATAGTAACCCACAGATCAGACTGAAATTTTTCTAAAAAAGGAAAAAATTCATAAAAGATGAAATTGAACAAAATTTTACCGAAAACTCGTTAAGAACTGAATCCTATTTAGAATAACAGTCAAAGTAAGTAATGAACTCATAAATTAATATGATGAATATTGAGTGAAAACGTAAGAATTTGACAATGACTGAAGGCTGAATCACTACTACTCACTCTTACTTTTGGCTCTTTTAGGTTAATCATTCATCGACTAAGATTTATACTATAATATAAGTACCGCGCAGTTATTACGTACCTGTTTTACTAATTAGTGCATTGAGCAAAAAATTGAAATATTAGAAATAGACAATCAATCAAGTACACAAATAATATATGGTAAAGATGAACATTTCTAGCAGCACTTCGATTATCAATAAAAATGTTTATTGCGATTTGTTAAATAGCTCCTATTGTACAAACAACACTGCTTGCATTGAATTTCAATTACAAGAAATACTGGTGATTTTCCTTTTCAAAGCAAACTCGAACAAAGAGTATGTCTCGTAATCATCCGTTGTATCATTTCTTCATACGATTTGTTAAGGACTGATTTTACCGGAGCTAATTGATCACTGATTTTATCGAAGTTAATTTCAGAAAATGTTCAACAATAATTAGAAAATAATACAATGGACTGCTGATAGCACATAAATGTTCCGTAATATGCCAGTTAATAAAGATATACGGACTTTGACCGTTATATATATTGGCTATCATGAAAGTTTTACTTCGCCAGTGAGAAGCATAGTAATTAATATTTGATAGAAACTTCGTGATTAATAATAAAATATAAGACGAAATAATCCAAAATATGACCTTTTTGATTTTTCATGTACTGATCTTTTGAGCAATACTTATTTCAGCTGTATTTTCTTTTTTTTGATTATGCAAACTTAGTTTCCGACGTTGAACAAAACTTCTAATGCATGACAGCATTACACATTGATGTACGACTTGGACCAAAATTGTAATATTCGGATCACTCAGTGAAACATGACAATTTGGTACTAATTGCTTCAGAGCTAGTAATGCCATATCCATTGCATCACTTTTCAGCAGGCTATTATTATTACGAGCTTTGAATTCGAATGAATATGTAGGCCATTTACCGTCTTCATTAGGATGAAAATGCCTTGAAATTAGCTGACTCAACTCCTGGAATAAAAGATAATTTTTACTCCATTTAACAAATAGCAAAAATTTTATTAGCAAGTTCTTTAATAAAAAATTTTTTAAACCAAGCGAAGGATGGTACGATAATTTCCGCTATTACTTGGTTGTAACAAATGATAATTTGTTAGAAAAAACCGTTATTTCACATTATTTTTAATGAGGCCGAAGTTAAAAGATACAAGCTTTATGGAATAACAGAACGAAGAAAAATTAGCAGTACCTCAAAAAATGATTTTTTCTAAATACCATTTATTATATAAATGTTTTCGAAGTTCTAAGACACAACAAAAACTTTCCGTATCTGCCAAACTTTGAAAACCAATAAGAAATTATAAGAGTAATAAGATTAAAAAACATCTTGAACATGAAGGGATATTTAGTACTATCAGAAATACTATTTTGCCGTTTAATAGAAAAATTCAAAGCTTCAATCAACATATGACCAATTGACCAATTCAAAATGAAATAAAAGACCTAAGCACGGCAAAACATTTGGGAATATTTAGTTGCAGTAAAAAGACGAAACTGAATGTAATTACTATAATTTTTAAAATAAAAAAAATGAAAAACTGAAAGCCAGCAAAGATCATTTCATCTTACTTACCATATCTACCTCAACCATATTCACTCGACAAGTTTTCTCGACAGGCCAAACTCGCTGCAGTAAACGACAACACTTTTTTTCTAATACCATTTCAATAAAGAAATCCACGAAATCATATACATTTTCACTGATGATATCTTTAACAATAAAAAATAAACAATGATTTGCACCAGTTGGTCGCTGCCTTATCACTTGATTCTCTGCATTATTTTTAATGCTGCGCGCTGCAAATAAATGAGAATTAGATATTAAAAGAGCAAAATAGATATTTTTTGTAAATTTTCTATATCTTTCAAAAATGCAATACTTATAATTTAGAAAAATCTTCGAAAAAACTGCAAAATAATCTATTTAACCACTATATGTGCATATTTTTTTATCACTAAAATATATTAGGAATTGGATAATAACATGACCTATAAATTTAATAAACCATTTGCATTTTGCAAAATATTACAGCTTTTTTTGAAAAAAGTTTTCTAACTTTAGAATTTGTTATTAAGGTAAAATCTTAGTTGTTTTCACCTTGATGATATAACTCATACCAACTAGTTTAGATTATACAGATAAAACATGAATAAAATGCTTAAAATAAGAAATAGGAACTGAATGCAACCGCTATCAAAATGAATCTGTAATGAAAAATTAAAAGCAATTAATTTAGATAAAACACAATACTGGAAAAATGAAAAGTACTTTTAATGATAGCCAGTTCCTAATTCGAAGACGTTAATAATGATTGACTAGTTAATTTGTGATACAAAAAAGTTCGAATTTATGATAAATTCAACTTGTAAGAAATGAATAATCTTGAATTTAAAAATTGAGGACTGAAATAAACCTTGATCACAGAAGCGTTTTATATCATCTGCAGCATCTTCTTCAATATTACCATCAAAGCTGGCATTTACTTGCGCTCTATTATCATCAAAATCACTCTTTAATGATTTTTTTTCTTGCCATTTCTCCAAGGCTTGTTCGAGAACATTATAAGCCTCGCGCACGGCTTGCTTTTCATTTCCATTACACGTAAAAAATAGCCCGCATGCACCGGAATCAACTGACTTTTGCTTAACTTTATGACTGTGATAGAAAAACTTGCGCCGCTTCCTTTTTCCTTCCATAGAATACCTTCTGATTATTTGGTTATCACAGAAAATAAGCAAACGCAATATTTTAAGTCTTTTATCGTAGTTTTTTATAATACAGCAAATCTACGTGAAATGGATGTAACTAATCATGCATGTCAATACAAATCTCATCAAGACAAAATACGATCTCTTCATTTTACTTTTAACGTTAATAATCTCCCTTACAGTAAAATACAACTGTATCCAGCACAATCCATTATCCAACACATCAAACTGATTGCTTAAAAAAGCTGACGTATGTTCGAATTTTAAGAGCCAATTAGCGCCATTTCAAATTTTTATTACGTTAAAAACCACTTCATTTTTTCCGTTTTTTGCGAATTCATTCATTGCGACTTTTAAACACAGTAAAACCAAAAATTTTGGCTTAAAAGACGGAATAATTAGCAACTCAAAAAAGTTATTATTATGTATTATAAAAAAATATGCAGAAAAAATCCATTTTCATGTAAAAATTTGATGTAGTAAAGTTTGAAAAAGGATAAAAATAAAAAAGAAAACTCAATAAAAACAAAAATTAATCAAAAATTATCTTTCTAAAATCAATTAAAACTGTTGTTTTAAAATATAAATATTGATTAAAATTATTTTTAAATAACTGCGTATTCCTTTTCAATTATTTTGACTAAAATAGATTAAATTGTTGTAATTTCTTATTCACTGCGTGGTGTATTGAAATTAATGAGTTAGTATTTATTCATAATAAAAAATCTGAAGGTTTATTGAATTAAGCTTTAAGCTAATTTTTCATAAACGAACTTGCTTGAAAGTTCTTCATGAGATTTAAGAGAAAAAAAATTCCAAGTAGCGAAATTAGTTATTAAATAAAAATAAAACACTAAAATATTAAAAAATTGAGACCCTTAATTGACGTCATCAAAATACTACAATAATTCTTGTATATTAATCAAATGTCGTGAACTTTTTAGCAAATTTTGATTTATGTAAATAAAATTAACAATTTTAATTTTCTGTAATAATTCTTCTGGCAATATTTCACATTTCTCAGCTCAATGAAAATTGCAAAAACTAAAAAATTATTGGAAATATTCAAACTTATTTTCAAAACTTAAAAACTTAAAATGTAATTGAATTTATTTGTGATTTATTTGTGATAACTTACTTTCACCTCACAAGTTTTGATTATTAAAAATGAATGATTTTTCAAAACGATTTTAATTTCATTTTGAACTTAAATTGATTTCAAGCCGATTTTATTATACATAGTATTATTTTTAAGTCGCGTTGTAAAAATTGCTGACAGCAAGTTTATAATGCCTTAAAATTAGTATTCGAAATACATTTCATTAATATATATTTTATTTGTATATTTATATGCAAATTTACAGATCATTTTTCCAATGAAGTTGTTGTAGTTTATTTCAAAATTGATAGAAATTGCCAATAATTAAATTATGCAAATTTTTATTTCAATAAAAATAATCTTTCCTCAAAAACAAATTTAAATACTTAATATAAATAAATTAGTATTTTAAGCTAAAAATTATACAAATAACAAAAATGTGTAACATTAAATCTTCGTGCTTTTAAATAGCAAATGTTAGAAATATTTAAAAAATTGAGCAAATAATTGAAATTTAAAATTTTAATTAACAAATTTTTGGTTCATATAGCCAACTTTGATCGTTAAAAATGAGTAAATTTGATTTTTAGGTCAAATCTCAATTATTTTCTTTCAATTTTTATTCCTTAAAATTGTTTCACTGCGCAAATTTTTCATTTAAAAATGAAATGACATCAACTGAATGTTTAAATTAATTAAAATTTGTTCGCTTCAGAAAAAAATAAAAAATAAAAAGAATTTGCTTTTTAGGATTAGAATTAAAAAAGTAAAAATTAATTAATTTGATAATTTGTGAAAAATATATCCTAAGAGCATAAATATGAAATTATAGCACAGTATTATTGAAAAATTATGCTACAAAAGTCGAAAAATGCAATCTATGTCATGAAAATATTTTAATCGTTAAATAAAGTTCAAAGGTTAGAATTATTGAGTTCTTAAAACTTGTATGAGTGTTTAAAATAATACTATCACTGATGATTAAAAGTATTCCATTTAACGTTTTCAATTGATCAGTACTCATAGATGGAAATAAGAGATATTAAAAATTAATTTTCATAAAGTGAGCATATTTTTAATTAATTTTAATTAATCATAAATCAAATAAATATCAATCAATCTACTCTTTTTTAATAATTCAATTATCAAAAATAATAACTTAAATAATTTTTTAAATTTATAAAATACCTGAAAATATGAAGGCTGCAATGGATTCTCAACAACCATCACTGGTATTGACGACAATGGCAGAGGTGGTGGGCTGGTCACTTCCTCATTGTCAGTGTTATTTTTCTCCGGCATATTATTTATCATTAATATTTATTAAATTTGCTTTTTTTACAGTTTTGTTAAACATTTGATATTACTTTCTGAAAGTTACTATTAACTTTAATATTATTACTTTCATAAATATGAAATCAAGGCGATATTTTATTATTTGATATTAATCACAAATCTATTAATAAAATATCGCCCTGACTTTTGACATATTAATGACAAATCTATTAATAAAATAAACTTTACGTATGCTTTACACCTTTTACTAGTATTTTTTTAATCATTCTTATTTTGTTGTTTTTGTTTTAATTTTTGAAAATTTCCGATCTTTTAGAAAATTTTAGAAATTTGAAACATTGGAAGAAAAATTTTACTCAAATCTTTCAATAAATATAAAAAAATGAATTTTGAAATTTTTAGAAAATTTTAAAATAAAAGAATAAAAATGCCAAAAAATTGATTAGCCAAATTTTTATTTCGATTTAAACAGTTTTTTGAGAAATAAAATTGAAAAGCTTAGTAGAAATGATCTGAAATATTTTGAATTCTGTAATGACTACAACAAACATTTTATAATTTTAAATACTTACAACACAAAAATTTCGCAGAAAATCCAGTAGAGATAAAGTTAAAAACTAAAGCATCTATAAAACTCAAAATATTTTTTTATTAGCTTTAAAAATCGATTTTAAATTTTATTAGCTTAAAAATCAATTTTAGATTTTATTAGCTTTAAAAATACTATTAATTGGTAAAAACTTTGACCTCTCTAATTGTGAGTAAATCTTAAACACAACAATATCCTTGACATATTAAAAATAACATGATTTATTTTTATATTAATTAATTAAAATTTACAGCCTTTTGTTACATATAAATATGACAGTATTTACATTTGAGATAAAATTAACAAAGATGAACTGATTTAATTGAATAAATAAGATTTCCATGAAAAGATATAAAGATAAATGTTAAAACTGGTGCAGATAACAGTAGACATCAAAATGTTATTGTCATTATTCTTTCACTTAATCCCGGATAATAACCTGATCATTATCACGTGGGATCAAATTTCTTGCCATAATTTTATAGCTGTTCACGATTACTAATTAAGATATATTAAGCAACTTCCTTTAATTAATGAAAATTAGTCATATCCTTTTGATAGTAATCTGCATTCCGTTATTATTATTATTATTATTATTATTATTATTATTATTACCCATTTTTTATTTAAAAAACATATAGAAATAAAAAATTACTATGATTTGCACATTATTCGAATTCCGGGCATTAGTACCGACCTCATTGCCATTATCACAAATACTACCACATCCATTATTTTCAAAACCTTTATTACTGTGTTTATTAAGAATTTATCGTTTAATAATAACTGAAGACAAATTATAAATTTATGGTGTAAAATAAATTTATTATCATTATCACCACTGTTCTTATTATCAATATATTAACTCGACTCATAAATAGCAATAATCATAATTATCAGTATTATCATTTACAATACTACTATTACCATTATCACTAATAATATTATAATTACAGTAATGATTTGTTATTTGTTAAGCATTCATAATTCTGTTCCAAATAATTTTATTATTAGCGTTACTACTAATATAATCATAATGAACAAATGTGAAAATACTTATGCGGATTTTATATCCGCATTATTCTTTAAATCTTCTCAATAGTTTCAACTATTATGATTGATATTATTATCACTATCATTATTACTAGTATTTTCATGGTGAATAAAAGGAAATATGGAATAGCTAGGCTGTCATTATTATCATCATCACAATATAACTATTGTTAATACGAAAAGATCAGAGCTGCAACAACTTGCACCTGTTTTAATAACTCTTATCAAATACTGTCTGATATCTTTGCATTTATCAATCACTAGAATAACTTGCTTCAATATTTAATATTCAAGCAGTTCCAAATAAACAATATCATGAAATCTAACTAACTCTTTTATTTCAGCTTTTTCAGTTAATTAGTTCAAATTAAAATTTAAACAGATGAATAGTACTGAAGCATCAGATACAGAAATACTTTATTCATTTTTTATCATAGTCATTAGAAACACTAGTCAGTTCTGATTCAGAAGTATAATCGAGAGATGTTTCAGTAATAATTTTATCATAGATGAAAACTCGTTTCCCACATTTAGCGTAATTAACTCTCTAAAGAACTGTGTTATTCATTTCCTTTGAGATGATTAATCTGAATACCACTGATATCACTTTCCTTACTACTGAATGAAAACGAGGTCAACAGTAATGAAACATACTCCAATCCTCATGTTTTCTTTTTTTTTTAAATTTATTCCAAATTTTAATTATCCTAATTAGAAATTCCTGCATTCATAAATAATATGAACTAGCACTGCAATCCTTTATTACTCCAGTACAACATTCATTACTACAATACTACCACTCTGATTAAAACCACCACTATTCATGATTATTACTGTATGGCGCTTAACAATTATACTAAAATCTCCAAAAATTTATGACAGTCATGAAAATTAATCAAACTCCATTACTTTAACACATTTTTCTGCTACCATGAATTTCAAAACATCATGTTCATAAAATATTCCGTTTAATAAGACTAAAAATCAAGACAATTTGAAACAACAAAAAACAAAATTGCAATTAACAGTCAACAATATTTTTTTGCAAACACGAAAAGTCATTTAAAGGATCACATTTTTTATAAATTCAGTAAAGTTTAGAACACGCAATACTTTTATTTTAGTATATTTACATAAATTTATAACAAAGTGTTCTACAAGAATTCTAATCTTCATGAACTTCTAAAAATCGGTCATGTAAAAATTTAGCTAGCTGAATATCATTTTGATAAACATGGTTGACAACAACGAGTAGAAGGGCGCCTCCAACAGCCACATGCGCAGCACTATACATAATTCCATCGACTTGACCAAAAATCTGAAATTAAGTGATAATATTTGGGAAAAATTTTTCTAATAAGTTAAAAAAACAAATTACAGAGCAGTTAAAAAAAGAGGGCAGTTAAATAATTATATAAATTAACCAAAGATTAGATAGTGACTAGCGTTAGATAAATCATATGAAACCAAATCTTGCAAATTACTAACCAAAAGTGAAATAGATGTGATGATCAAACAAAAAAATAAGATAAAGTTCGTAGAAAAATCTGGAAAAATTTTTAAAAAATTGACTTGTCCACAGGAGAATCGACGGACATGTTGCCAACTGAAAATATAATATAAGATGTAACTGCAGCAGAAAAAGTCATTATGTAAAAAGCATTGCTTGTGCTGTAGTTAAACCAGTATATCCTTTTTTTTTAAATTATCAATCTTACCAGTATGCTATTCTCATCACCATATTGATTACATTTGCCAATATCAAACCATACGAACCAAGTACGTAAGAAAGTAACGACGACAACAATATGTGCAGCGGTGAGGATAAAACTAGAAACCAACCGTGAGAACAAAGCTGAAAAATGAGATTCCTATTTTTGAACAAAATTTGAAACATGAAAATACCACGTAGCGCATCAAAACATGTCGGCTTATATAATGAGTGAGTAATGTTTAATGCTGATTTTAAACATCAAAGAGTATACAAACAAATATGATATGGTAGTTTTTCGAAATTAATGCATAATTTGATAACGCACGTCTTGAAATTTTTTAGTTTTATGAAGAGCAAAAGTTATGAGATTGACCGATTCAATAATTTCAAAATATTTTAACCTGTTCTTTACTCATTGTAGCCATGGCAAAACATTCTGTAACACCATTGATTGCTATGACAATTATATAAAAACAGTAAAATCTCAAAATATTCGCTCCTGAAAAAAATATCTCATAATTTTATTCAACTATAAAAAATGAAATCTGTTGATATGCATTTGAATGAAGAAAAAGTGAGTACCAAAAAATATGTTGAAATAATGAATGATCTACTTCTACTGAGCAACAAAAAAATTACCTAAACTGTTGACCAACAAATCACCACCATACAATTTTACAACAAGAGGTGAATAAGTTAAAGCAAAAGTGAATACAACAATACCAATAACAGCAACAATATGCAGGAGACCATTCATTGCATTCAGACCTTTTTTTACTTCAACCTAAAAAAATTATGCAATGGGGCATTGCACTTGGTGCTTAATGTATATATTCTTCCAATAAGCTAGAGAACATAACAATTACATTTTTATGAGAAAATATGTTATAGGGCCAAAACTGAATTAATGAAAATATTGCAAAAAATTGAGACAAAAAACAGAACATTCAAATTTATCTTGACCAAACCTACCTCGTTTCTGCTTTCCATCGAAGATGCTCTTCGAAAACATGACGAAAAATATAAATAAGCAGAATGTTCCACAGGTGCAAATATAATCCGAGCAACCAAGCTACCAATTTTTTCAACAGCATCAAAGACAGCTGAAAACTGATTTATATTTATAACTCTTTTAAAACTAGTTGTATATGTAGAATAATAGAAGTATATATGATTAAAAACATGCACTATTATCGAAATTCCACATGGAATCTGTAAATAAAATTAACCTTGATCTGATAAAGTAAAGAAATTTGTGAATGTTAAGACATAACCAGTGCCATCAGTAAGTACTTGTTTGAAAATCGAATGAACCATAAATGTTCCGAGTACTGACATATTCTTAAAATATTGCTTTTTCAATAAACATGTTCACATTATAACTGAAAAAATTGCCTGCAAGAAAAGTGAAATACACTGAGTCAATAACGATGTACAAGAACGAAAAAGTACCTCTTTTGATAAAGCTCCTGGAAAATGAGGATAAAGATATACAACATCGAATCCTTTAATAGATATTCCAGCACGACGAATATTGGAAATTAATAAATATATACATAGAAGAGTGTAACAACAAGATGATAGAACCTTTGATATAACATCAGATTAGTTAAATCTCGATGGAAAATAAGAATGTGGTAATCTTTGAAACTAAGAAGAAATTAGGTTTTTGAAAGAAGTTAAAATTAGGAAAATATTTCTGTACTTTTCATATTTAACTAAAAAATAATGCCAGTTAAAAAAAACCTGCGCAAAACAAAATGCATAAACAGGAACGAATGACATCGTATTGACTAGAACAAGTACAAAAACTCGTTGCATTATAAGCAAAAAAGCTTGAATGAATGCATATTGAGCATCCAAGCCATATCGGAGTGATAATATAACATAAGGTTCTGCAAAGGATTCCAACCAAGCCGAGATCGCAAATGTTGATAAAGCAAAAGAATATGATGGTACCAAGGAAGTACTAGGTAGAGTTGTAAAGGGGAGCCAAAAACAAAAATACAATAAAATTGCAATAAAGGGGCACAATATTGGCCTGAAAGATTCAATTACACAAGAAAAATAAACAAATATAATTATTAGCAAGATGTTACTAGTAAACCACTTGTACGGTATAATAACAAGAATATAAAATTAAGTAAATTATGTGATTGTCTTAAAAAAGATTAAACACTTCAAAGAGATATTGATGACTAATAACTTGTAACAAGTAATAAAATTTATACTATCTACAAAGACTGAAGCACTTACGCGAACCACGTGTGGGTGATGACAACAGACAACGGCACATCACTCGAAAGAAAAACTTTTCGAAACGGATCACGTATGAGGAAAATTGTTGTCGAGTAGAAGAGCATAAGACTATAATGTATAATATTCAAAAACTGGTAACAAAATAATGCATTAAACAGTTATGCCCTAACATCCAAGTAATTTGCATAAAATTTTGTTTTGAATAAAAACAATGACAAAGAAATTTTTTTCCCAAAAGTAAACTTTTACTCTTGTTAGAAAATTTAAGCATCTACAAAGGTAATAATAGCAATACAATTTTCGTGAAATTTTCTTAAAACGTAGTTTTTGTCGAAAAAAAAATGCCCTTTTAAATATGGTCATAATGACTTACTAAAAAGTTATATATCTAAAACGAAAACAGCATATTTTTTAGAATCATGAATTGAGAAATTTTCACAGAAATTACATATTTAAACATCATGGAATATGTTTGTTCCAGCAACCATGTAGCTGATAACAACTTTAATGTAAAATGAAACTTTTTCAAATGTATTACTTGACATTGATAAGACCCAAAACATCACTATCAATCCGGCGTAAGAAATATATATTAATGCCAAAAGATATGATCCGAGTGATTAACTGAAAAAAAAACAGATCACTAATTTTTTTTCTTCAGAGAAAAAACAAAATTTCTTTTCAAAGTTCACAATTTATGAGACTATTTATCATAAGAAGATTGTAAACAAAATAAGGTTTCGTATTAACAGTTAGCATGAAAATAATGTTACAATAATAGATATGATTCTGATCTCCTCCAAAAATCCATTATCATATTCACATCACATTCAAGCATATAAAATGTTCTTCCTATAATTGATTTCAAATGGTAATAAAATCCATAAAATATACCTGTATACTTAGATTATGTACCAGTGATGTTATCAACGAATCTCTCATTGTAGTGATTGCGATTAAATTAAACTGACACCAAAATTCACTTTTTTATACAATATCGACAACCTCAACTTTTTCCTAAACCAAGGTAAATTAAAATTAAACCATTTTTATAATTCAAGAGCAATATACTATGCAACAGCGAAATTGCTAAAATATCTAAGGAATAAAAATATAATATTACCGAAAAAATGTCGAACCACGTATCGATATTAGCATAATACAACCCAGGAATACAGTAGTTTTACAACGAAGTGTCAGCAGATAGCGACAAACAGTAATGCGGACCTCACCTTGAAAATCACTTCTAATTTTGTATCGATTTTATGGGAACCTCTTGGTACAAGAAACTCGGTCCCGAATTTTTCGGACAAACATTGGCACAATTCTAGACATTACATTTTGATACTTTTCACTAACACAATTGCTTAAGTTAAGAGAATCACGACAAAAAGCTCGATTCGAATACAACTGCCATTCCTTTGTTGCATAAAAATGGGCACTCAGTCACATTTATACAAAAACTGTGCCTCTGCTGAAATCTTTTACAAATATCATGTAATTTTTTGTTCTGAATTACCGAATACGTAAACAAACTCCACCAATTAATAAATTTTAACACAGAATTCAAACATGATTACATAACATTGAAGCAGCAGAAGGAAACATACAAGCTGAATACTACATAAAAATATTTTTACAATTTGACGAGTGAAAAACATCAATGTAGTGTGAAGACAGCAACCAGAATGCAGAAGAAAAGTTTATGAACAACTGATGGACAATCAATCCGAAAGTTACGAAGAATTATCTTACTGAACAAGACTAAAGAATTTAAAGTTGAAACAACAGAATAGCCATTTATGCAAATAATGCACAAAAAGTGCGCAAAAAATTCAGCACATTAATTGAAATTAACTTACATGGCAAAAATTTGGTAGATGAAAACCAAAAATTTTTCAAGTGTTTCTAAGGAATCCTAAACTAGGCAAAAGAAAGAAATGGTACAACAGAAATGACAATTTGTAAAAATTAACCCCACGCTGGAGTTTTACTATAATTGATGATTAATTTTGAATCACCGGATGCAAAACAATCCTTTAGATTTTGTAAAGTTTGGTCAGGTGACGGTGCAAAACTCTGGTTGATGAAGAGCAGTAAGGAATCGCTATCACTAAGCTGAAATCGAATAACCACAATAACTACGAAATTTACAATTTTTAATGACTTATATTTCAGTGGATGTATCAATGAAATACCTTGAATGTTAAATAAAATTATTTTAAAACTGAGTTAATCCATTTATAGAAGTCACATATTCACATATTTCTGATGCAGCTACTAGGAAATTTTAATATCACATTTATTAATAAAACCTTACGCCACATCAACAAAGGTTAATCTTCACTAAGTTTCTCATATTAAAGTGACAGAAGAAAAATTCACAATACCTTCATATAATTCCGCAAAAAAATAGTTAACTCTGCCACTGTTTTACTTTCATCAACCATCCACTTATTTTGCTTTAATATTGGAGCATCACCAACTGCTTTTAGTAAAATTTCTACTTTCCCGTATTCTGACATTTCGAAAACTTGCTAATGATAGCTAAAAAAAACTTGAAAAACCATGATATCCCAACTAATGCAAATTAATAACACTGAATTTATATGATGTAACTGACTAAAGCAAAAAATCTTACCAAATGTTTCTGGCCAAAAGAAAAGTCGATTTTTTCAAATTAAGAAGGGATCATGATTTAAAAAAAGATGATAAGGCATTCGAAAAAATACCGAAACTGTTTTAATTAGACAGCCACAATTCGTACGATACAAAGATAACAGAAGTGCAAATAATGAATGTAAAGCAATAGAAAAGTGATCGTTCCCAAGGTTCTAGCATGTATAAACCTGTCACAAAGCAGAACTGTCTATAGTACCACGAGATTACTGAGTTTCTCTGAATAAAGCTTTCATCAATATTATAAACTTTATTTCTTTATTACAATGCTAACTACATAACTATAATTTGTAATATGCAAAAAAATTAAGAGTAGTGTTTTATGAAGACAAAAATATTTTCGAAAAATATTAATTTCATTGAAAAACGATCAAAATATTTTTTTTTAAAGATTTCGGAGTTGGTAATAATCGAATACAATAAAACGCATAATTCAAAAAATATAATTTTCTATCTCAGTCAAAAACAGAGCCATGTACTGACTTGTTGTTACTGCTTATTACTCATGAAATAATTCAGTTCAACATGCGAAGTGTTGTTATTGGTAAACGCTTGAAACAACACACATCTTACTCAAGTAGAATATTTCATTAAATGATGGAAAACTTATTAAGATAACCTTCGTTGATTTATCGATGGCTCCATCCTTCTTCCACTGATACATACACATGTACACCTTAACAACGTAAACTAGAAATTATTGTTGACATATTATATATTAGCATCAGAAAAACATAATCTATCATACATAATGTTTGACCTAAAATTATTCGTACGTACTTCATTTATATCACACCCAACACCGCGGAAAAAAAATGATAAACAAATGAGATGGTGTAATGAATTCATAAAACTGCTAGTTTATAGTTTTGAGAGATCAAAATTCTATGACACACAATCAAAATTGGACGACATCTATTTTTGGACTTCAAAGTAAAAATTATGGAATTTTACAAGTATAACTGTTTTAACTTTTAACAATTTAAAAGTATAACTGTTTTAACTTTTAACAATTTTACTACTTTTTAGAAAAAATTACCGTTTTTCAAGTAGTTAAGATAACCTTCCGATAGCAATTAGAAAATTACCTTAATGAAAGAATATGAAAAGATATGATTGATTAGTACGTCAGAAATAATTCACCCACGAAACTACTGCATATTTCATGAATTTTTTTTCCTAAAAAATTAACTTACGCTTTACGTACACTTTTCTTAATAATCCGAAAACAATATTGATAAAAACTTATGCAAATTTCAATGCTGCAGCTTACAATGCTTTGACGAGTTTTGGAATTGTGCCAAAAAAATATAATAATATGAAACCAAAAAACAGTTAATAGTGGTATAAATGCATCAATGTAACGCAAAGATACTGTACAAACCAATGCTACAGCTTTGACGTGTTATACTGGAAATATTATTGATGATACATGTATAATTACTGTTACATAGTGTTATTTTCTACCGGAATTGTCCTCAATCCTGGCACTCTTGCATTTCACGTACTATTTTCTTAATGTTCTTAGTCTTTGCGTGTACTATTTTTCAGTGCCTAGTTTCCCTTGCTCCTCAAAATTAATGAAAGTAAAAATTTGATCATTAAAGCTGATTGAAATTATTTCAGGACGTATTCATAAAAATACGATGGGCCTTTGTAAGTGCGCTAAAAAAAAAGTGACAAATTTATTTTGTTTCGAACATCGCGTGAACGTTTGTGAGTACTGCTTAGTTGAAAATCATAATAAGGTTAGTTTTCATCATTATTTCATTATACTTACAAAAATAAGTGGTGACCTGACGTATTTATAACTTAATTTGATGTGAATTTCAATAAAAGTAATGTTTTTAGAAATATGAGGTAGAATAAAAATAATATTTTACTGTGAGTGTGACCAAAAAGAGCACTTTTTAAAAGTTTGAAGCATCACAGTTAAGGAATAAATTCGAAATTATGTATGTAGTATTAATGAAAAAATGATATGCGTCATTGGTTTTCAGATTGATAACTAATTATTATTGCATCAGTGGGTGTCAAAAATTTTCCTAAAGGCATTTTAAATTGTCAGTACTAGTAATTTAATAATATTGGTGTCAGTTATTATTGTGTTTTAACAAACAGTGTTTACACAGAGTATAATTAGTAGGATAAAAGTTAGTGTACCCTACTTATTTTAACAAAATTTCAGGGCATCAAAATTAATTTTTAAAAGTAAAATTATTTTATCTTTAAAGTGTTTTATTTTTCAAATTTATTGATATCGTAAAAGTATTCAGTGTGTTGTTCAAAGTTACTTGTCTTGGTTGGCGGATAGCGATTACGATACAAATTGTTTGCTCTGTTCAGTGCCATTGGACCAGAAAGAAACCATTCGTCTGAAATGCTTGCGCAAGTTTTTATCATTAATGTTAGGTTTGAGCATAGAACGTCGAACAGTTTTTAGATTTTTTGACATTGGATAAAAAATTGAGATGATTCATTTTCCTACTTCTTATGAGCATTTTATAGAAATCCTGAATGATAATGCTGTAGCTTAATATTAAATTATTGAGATGAAATTCAGATTAATATTTTTCTCCTTTCAGATTTATTTCATTGGGAATGCTTGGATGCATGGGCGCAGAGTTTGCCTGGGAATACGGCTCCTGCTGGTTATAAGTGTCAACAGTGTAAAGAGGGAATATTTCCAGCTCCTAATCAAACTTCACCAACCATTGAAAACTTAAGAACTATGTTGCAACGAGCAAATTGGGCTCGAGCTGGACTTGGTTTATCCTTGGTAAAAGCTTGAATATTAATGCTGATTAATTCACTATAGTAAAACGTTAAAGTTTGCATTCATCATGGATTACTTTAGTAAATAATATCGTTCACAGGTCTCTTTATTGAAAAAAAAATAGCGTCTCTGAAATTCATCGTTTATTATTTTTGCTAGTTATATCTATAGAATTTATCTGCTTTTTGTCATTTTGTTCAATTTATTTTCAGTTTTTTCAGTTATCCAAGACCTTTTCAGTTTAGCATCTATTACTTAGTATTTCAGCTTTCAAAGGTAATCTGCTTCAAATTAAAAAAGTCAATTTACTTCATTTCAGTTGCCAGAACTTGATAATGCACCATCACCTGCATCATTTATTCCACCTATGATGATGCCATCGTCGACTGATCATGAAGATTTTAGCAGTGAGCATGCCATTTTACATAAAAAAAATGTTAATAACATTCGCTGTAGTACACCAGCTACTGTACTTAATGTTGGTGACGATTATGTTAGTCATAAAGAGGAAAATCAATTTACTTGTTAGTTTTTGTTTAAATTCTTTTAATTTTAGTCTTGGAAGTCTAGCACTATTTTCATCTTCTTTATTCGACATTTGAAATTTTTCAGCCAGAAAATCTGCTAGTTTGAGTGATGGCCAAAAGGAAACGCAACATCTCTTGCATTTATCGAATCGTGATGAAGATTTACCGGAAAATAAGTATAAACGTAGGTCTGCAAGTGAATGGCTGGGTCGTTGGTTCAAGTACATGAGTTTTTATAATTTGTTGAGACATAACCATGATTTTATTATAAATGATGAGATTACTTTTTGCTCTTATGAATTACATTTCAAATAAAGATCGAATTAGAAACTATCAAAAGTCATCAATCAAAAAAGTATGATTTATTGAAACATGTCGCAAATTTTTTCCAGGTCACAACATGGAAAAGCTTCGACATTCAGTCTTCGTGCACGCTGGAGACGGAGTTTTCTTTACATTACAGTTTGCATGATAATAATTATGGCAGTATTCATCGTTCTTTCTCGTATATTTAGTAAACCAGCGATTGATGACCCGGCATTTAATCCTCTCGCAAATCCAGATATCCGGATTGCTCTTTCAGAAAATGTTCAGTAGTCAAGCTTTTTATTGTTTAATTTTTTTAAATATACATTATTGGGCTAATAGTATGAAACAGGTTATCTCTCCTTCTTCACTTCGGTATTTATAGTGTCTTTCTTCTTTTGCAGCATATTTTTGATAATGGCAGAGATGTACATTTATTATTGTAAATTACCACTGCAGCATCTACTTTTTGTTAATTCGTTTTAATCGATTATAAACAAATTCAGGTTTTTTTTGTTTCTAATCGATGAAAATTAGTGATTGAACTATGAAATTAAGTCGAAGATACTGTAATACTTGACATTGTAAACCAAGTGAAATAGATGTATAGGCAGTTGAATATCTAGCACTATTATGTAATAAAAAACTGTGTGAAAAGAAAAAAAAGTCATTATTT